AATTGAATCTGGTAGATGGCAGTTTTGACATTTCAGCAGTTTTGATATTTCAGCAGTTTTGTATTTTTGACATTTTTAGCATTTTTGGACATTTTTGGCATTTTTTGGCATTTTTGTCAGTTTTGACATTTTGGCATTTTCGGCATTTTGGCATTTTTGGCATTTTTGGCATTTTCAACATTTTTGGCATTTTTGGACAGTTTTGGCATTTTTGTCAGTTTTGACATTTTGGCATTTTCGGCATTTTGGCATTTTTGACATTTTTGGCATTTTTGACATTTTTGGCATTTTTGACATTTTTGGCATTTCGACATTTCGGCACTATGTAGGAGGTTTTACCTTTCGGCATTAGGCTAAGCGGATTTTGTCAGGCAACCTTAGTCCACCCATTTATATACTAAAATTTTTAATTTTTTGACTAATGCAGAAGAAGAGCATATAACCACTGGATCTGTTATTTATCAAGCTATAGAAGATGATCCATGGGTACAGAAAAACGAGTTGAAAAATATTATAGAGCAGGCAGTATCGTTTGTTAATAACAACAACACTCGAGGTTCCTCACGCCATACGACTCTTCTTGAGATTCTTCCAGAGGTTGGTTAAAAAACTTTTATGAAAAGCATAAAGATAATTCTGAGTGATGAGAACATATTAATATGTGGCGATACCACACTGAAGAAGCGGGCATAACAGTTTAAGCATCTCATTAGCCCGCCAACAGGAAATTTCCTCGACAGTGGGGAGTTGTTTTAGGCCGTGCTCCTATGCTTGGTTACTTTAGTATCGTACAAAGCCTTATCTGTGTGATGGCCACATATGGATAGGACTTTGTATATATTCTGATGGTGCATGCGGTTCGGAAATTATCTTTTTATAATAGTCGTGTGACATGTCCTTTCAAATTATTTTATATATTAAATAAAAAATTTCTAATTCGTGTAACTGACCGTTTTTTAAAAATAACACATTATTTTTATAATGAATTCGAATTTCATTATTAAAGTAAAACGAAATTGCTACATTAAAGCTTTCTAATGAATACTCATTCATATTGAAATGTCTTCTCTATGTAAATCCACGGCTACTCAAAAATGGTGTTACTTTTTCACTTCAAACCTCAGATTATTTTTCAATATCGCTTTAAAAGACCTGATAGTGACTAAAGAGGTATAGAATACTCTAAGCTTTAATATGGTCATTACTTTATGGGGGGTATTGGTTAATAAGTTTTAGAGAGGTTCGCGAAAAACTATTTTGTAGAAATTTAATAGTCATCTCAAGAATTTTATGCAGATTGGATTCAGTGAAAGTTTTTTAAAAGAAAGAACTGAGTTTATGACCTATTATTTATGTAATAAGGTGATAGATATTATAGGAAAAAAATATGTAACTATATTATAAAATTATTATTTGTTTATATTGATATACTTATTTATCTAGGAGAGATATTAATATTAAAAATCTCAATTCATATAGGATGGAATGCTTCCAAGGTTAATAATGGTTAAACAAAGTCAAATTAGAAAGGATGTTATGCAACATATTTAGTGGTATGATCAGAAAGAATTGCATGACCATATTTTTATTTATTATTAATAATTAATTATTAGATTACTTTGGTGGTGTATGATCAGAAAGAATTGTTACATGATAATCAAATTAGTTATTATTATAAATTAAAAGGTATTTATTATTGATGGTTGTTTTGTTCATTTATATTTAATCAAATATTTATCAACAGTTAAACAATGGGTTATTGTTATGCAATACTTGGTTAAAATCATAATTCAGAAAGGTACACTATCAAGACATCCATTATTATGCAACTATTAAATATTATTATTACCTTCATTACAATTAATAGTAATAGTACAAGTAACAACATCAAAAATTATTAATTATTTTTTTAGATCTTGTGGAAAGAATCGTTACATGAAAATCAATTATTGTTATAAATTAAAAGGTAATTTATTTATTCATGGTTGTTTTATCTATTTATCAAATATTTATCAACAGTTAAACAATGGGTTATTGTTATATGACTATCAAGACATCCATTGTTATGCAACTATTAAATATTATTATCATTTTTATTACAATTAATGGTATAAGTAATAATATATTACTAATCAATAGCATTAGCAGAATCTGGTGATTAATTTTTGTTTATCATATGCAAAAAAAAATTCAAATAATTTATTTGTCATTTTATTTGATTTTTACAATTTACAAATCTAATATTAATATTAATATATATTTAAATTTATTAGTGAAAATGAAGATGCAACAAATTTAATTATAATGCGATTGAAATAAAATTAATTATAATTAGTGGTAACGCGACTGCAACAAATTTAATTATAATTCATAGTAATGTGATTGCAACAAATATAATTATAATTCATGACAACGAGATTAAAATAATAATTCGTGGTAACGCGATTGAAATAATAATTCGTGGTAACGCGATAGCAACAAACTTAATATTAATTAATTATAATTCATGGTAATGCGATTGAAATAATAATTCGTGGTAACGCGATAGCAACAAATTTAATATTAATTAATTATAATTCATGGTAACGCGATAGCAACAATTTAATTATAATTTGTTGTATGTTTGATGGCTTAGGTTCTCATTGGTCATGCATGTAAAATTTAATTATTAAAAAAACCAAAATTTGTAATATTTCATGAATTATTATATTATTAAATAAAAATTTATTAAATGATAATTTTATAAAAAAAATAAAATTGAACAAAATTGTTCGATGGAATGAAATTAAAAATTGAACAGAGTTTGTTCAATAGAAGAGAAAATAAAAATTGAACAGAGTTTGTTCAATAGAAGAGAAATTAAAAATTGAACAGATTTTGTTCAATAGAAGAGAAATTAAAAATTGAACAGATTTTGTTCAATAGAAGAGAAATTAAAAATTGAGAAAAAATCAGGACCCCCGACAGAATAAAAAATTGAGCAAATACCCAATAAATAAATAAAATTTAATTGTTCAGAGGAAGAGGAGGAAATATTATTATTATTATTAATATTATTGTTGTTATTATTAATAATATTATTAATATTATTGTTGTTGTTGTTGTTGTTGTTGTTGTTGTTATTGCTGATATTGTTGATATTGTGAATTGATATTTTCAATTACCCTCCTCCTCGCCAAAAACATTTATCCCGCCCACAAGAGCCTGGTGGATACATTTGGACAAAATTATTAATATATATTAATAAATTTAATATTATTAATGAAATTTACATTATTATTGTTTACATTATTTATGTTACCATTTTTATTAACATTACCATGTTAACATTATCATCATTATTAGTATTGGTGTGATTATTGTTGGTGTTGGTGTGAGTGTTGTTATTATTATTGGAGTTGTTTTATTATTATTATTATTATTAAATTGTTCAAGGCATGATTTTAATTATTTGAGCGAAAGAAAATTTTTTTTTTAT